GAGGGGCCAACATATGCTGCCCCTGTCTGCAACTCACTAGCACACTGCAGTGGTGCTTCAGAAGAATTGTAACCAACAAAGAAATAAACTGGGGCCTCCTGGAAGAAACAAAAAAGATGGGAAAAAGAAGCAACAACTAAAAGTCCCCAAGTCCAACTCTGAGAACACTGACCCAGGACAGGAAAATACAAAGGCAAATGAGAACAGCAAACATGCAATATCAGACACAGCACCAGTGGACATAAAGAGATATCTTAGGGACCTCATAGATGAGTTCAAAAGTGGAATATTTGGCCAAGTAAAGCAAGATATAAGAAGATTAATAAAAGAGATGCTAAGCACCCCTCAAGCAGACACAGATGGAAAAAGGAGGAACTTGAACAAAGGAGAGAACCATTTGATGAAGAATATAAAAAAATATATAGAATACATGAAGCAGATTCAAAGATATCACCCAGAAATTAAAAATTCTATGGAAAGATGGCAAATCTGCTTGAAAGAAACTAAGGATAGATTATCTAAACTGGAAGAAAGGTTTGAAATGCGGGATTATGAAAGGAAAAATTAAAAAAAAAAAAACAAGGAAACAAGCAGGAACAATACAAAGGCTAGGGGCTGGAGATTTAGCTCAGCAGCATAAGCACCTGCCTTGCAAGCAGGTGGTCGTGAGTTGGATCCCCGGTACTGATTAAAAAAAAAAAAAAAACAATACAAAGGCTAGAAGATGACAAGAGTATCTACAACTTGAGAATAAAGAATGTGAATGAATAAGCAGGGATACAAACAAAGGAACTACAAAGGCTATTCACAGAAATAATTAAGGAAAACATCCCAAACACAGGAAAAGGAAATGATATTCTGATGTATGAGGCATACAGAACTCCAGCCACCTACAACCAAAACAGAGCCACACCCAGGCATATAATAATCAAGATCCCAGAAATTCAATATAAGAACAGAATATTAAAAGCTGTTAGAGACAATAAACAGGTAACCTAAAAAGGAAGGCCCATCAGAATAACAGCAGACTTCTCAACATAAGCCATCAAGTCAAGAAAAGCCTGGAGTGAAATATTCCAAGCCCTGCAAGAAAATAACCTCCAGCCCAGATTGATATACCCTGATAAACTGTCTCTAGAAATTAATGGAGAAACAAGATGCTTCTAAGACAAAGAGGAACTTGGGAAATTCACAAGCACCAATCCAACTCTACAGAGAATATTGCAGGGCATTCTAGAGAAAGAGAAAAGTACTAGGATTCCAGGAACAGTGGCAGAGAGGCTTCAATGAATGGAGCAGAAAAGAGAATGAAGAAGATAAGCAGACAACTGATGGCAAAAAAAAGAGCATAACAGAAATGAAGTAGAGAAGACTGGTTATAATCTCTAATATAGATGGCCTTGATACACTAAATTTAAAAAAAAAGAACCACACGTGGAGTAGATCAGGAGGCAGGGTCCACCGAGATGCTCTTTATATAAAATATAATTAACATGAAAAAGAGTACATGGACTGAAAATCAAATATGAGAAAACAATGCTCTATGTGACAGAGAACCAGAGAGTAATAGCGGCAACTAGACCAGTATTTGTGGATAGGTTGGAAAGACAGGCTTTAATAGGTAAAGGAATACAATTAGAGATCAAAACCAGGAGAGAAAAGGTTCCGAACCACTTAGGTAAATAGCAGGTTGCCCACTGCCCCCAATTTAAAACCAAGGGTCTTGGGCAAACCTAAAAATACACAGTGTACCCTGGGGAAGTAAAGGAGAGGGAGAGTCTTAAAAAAGATGGCAGAAGATATTGTTAATAGGGGGCTGGGGATTTAGCTCAGTGGCATAAGCACCTGCTTCGAAAGCAGGCTGTCGTGAGTTCGATCCCTGGTACCGATAAAAAAACGAAAAAGCCAAAAAAAAAAAGGTATTATTAATAGTGTATCAGGATGTAAAGCCCACATTATTCGCACCACTCTGCTTAGATAGATTTTTACTCTTTTTTTGATAGATTTTATTCTGTCCAGTTTGTCTACTTGCATTAGATTTGAGGGCACAGACAGCTATCCCAAAAACATCAGGATATAGCACAGTAATCATCTTTAATTTCTATGGCCTTTATCTGGAGCCCTGAATGACTTATACTGTTTTATTATGACTGATCTTAGTTAAATCTGGTTTGCTTGATTGCTGTTTGCTATTGACAGATTTTATTCAAAACTGATATGACTGATAGTAGCAAGTCTGAGAGTATAGGCAACTACACTGAAGATGGCAATACTCTACGATACACATTCTGGGTTGTTAACTGCCTGATTTTGAAGTTTTATACTATATACAAAGTTGTGTTTTAATTAATAGTGTTATGTACTGATATATTCAATTATACTATGTCTGATGATATAGCCAATTCTATTGAAGATAACAAGAGACAACACAGGAACTATGGTAGAACTTCTTGTACAATGGTCTTATATGTCTTTTTCATTTCATGTATATATAGGAATATGTTTTGTTTTGTCTTGCTTTGTTTTGTCCCTCTAACATAGAAAGGATAGGAATACATGTTAAGACTCATGCATGTGTAGAACCTATAAACAGTGCATGAGAACTGATCTTATGACACATGATGAAATGAACAGATACTTTGAAGAAAGAGACACTACAGTACCCAGTGCTGATCCTGGAGTGTCATAATGTGACACCCAGCAATAGTATTATTCTTTGTTCAGAGTGATATTAGCCTGCTTGAGTTTTTTCAATCTCAACATAATTGAAGATATGGATAACTACATGTATGTTTAAGTGTATAGGAGTGATAACCATATTTTTAAGTTTTTCTTGGATAGTTGAACAGAACTGGTTGCAGTCTCACTGTTTGAATCCCCACTTTATATGCTATACTTTAGTATCTTGAAAACTATTTGTAAGAGGACAATCTGTACTCATCAACTAGTGATTTCTTACTGTTTATTTTTTCTTTGAAAGTTTGTATTATTTCTACCCAGTTTCTGTTTTGTTTATTCTTTCTTGAAATAAAAATTTAAAAAAAGAAATCAACAGTGGCTACCACAGTGCCTCTTGCTGTCCAGAATAGCTGCCCAAACCATCAGACATAATAAAATCAAACAAAACAGAACTTTTGTTTTGCATTTCGACAGACTTTTTGTTTACTATTTCTCCACTGCTTGAAAATAAACTTTTGTGTTCTGAACTTTTCACTTACTGTCTGATAAAATGAATCTATTCATTAATTTGGAACTCAGAAAAGAAACAGACTCTTCCTCTTTGGCCAAAAGTTCTCTAAAGCCATTTCCAGAATTTCTAATTGGTGCTTTTAATAATTAGTCTATTCCATACATTTATGGATTTGCATTATCTTTGTGATGCTATTTTCTTTAATCATTTAACATTTCTGACTGATGTCAGTACTTACAGTGAAAGTTTGCATATATCAGGTATGTGAAGTGTGTATCCCAAGGGACAGAGGAGGTAAAGACTAGGAAAGGTTTCTTGAGAGATAGATCCTGAGAGACAGGATGGGTCCAAGTGGATTGCCAAAGAGACCTTATATCAGGGGTATTTTACTCAGAACTGTCATGATGTGGTTACAGCATTGGTCATACTATAATCCACCTTTAATCTTGCAAGTATAGCCACATGGCTACTAGTGATCATTTGGAAAGTGGGCATGTAGCAAGGGTGTACATCTGCCAACATTCGCCTTGGCGTATCTATGACTTCTTTCTTTAAGTCAAATTTTTAAAAAAAGACACTACAGTACCCAGTGTGATCCTAGAGTGTCATGCTGTGAAATCCAGCAATACTATTATTCTTTGTTCAGAATGATTTTAACCTGCTTTAGTTTGTTTAATCTCAACATAAATGAATATATGGATAACTACATGTATGTTTAAGTGTATAGGATTGACAACCACGTTACCAAGTTTTTGTTGGATAGTTGAACAGAACTGTTTGCAGTCTCTCTGTTTGAATTCCGACTTTATATGCTCCACTTTTGTATCTTGAACAACTATTTGTAAAAGGACAGTATGTAAACATTAACTAGTGATTTCTTACTGTTTATTTTTTCTCTGAACGTATGGATTGCTTCTACCCAAAAATAAATAAATAAATAAATCTTGGCTTGAGGTAAATTAGGTAATCTACTACCTCTAAATATACTTTTAAAAGTCATTATTTTCCCGTTTCTTTGCAAAATATCCTTTGTTTTCCTTTTATGATAATGTAGACACATTTGAAAAAGTAAATGGTGATGACATAAGAAGAATGAGGAAAGAACTTGCGTTAGTTTTTTCTTCTTTAGAAAAGAACACTTACAGAAACCACAAGAAATATTTTCTTTGGTGCGCATGTCCAAACTCTAGGAACCCAAGAGTCGGTCTAGCTAATACTGTTGTGGATGACTGTGCTCCTTCATAAAGCACAGCATTAGGCATTACAAAAGCCTGGAGCTTTGTCCAACATGCAGAGGTGTTATTACATCTGCACGCTTCGTTTTAACTTCTGTTATGTTTTCTTTTGTCACTTTTGTCACAACAGTGCCTAGCATAGCACCTAGCACTATTGGAATAAGTGTTGAATTAATGAGTTGATTAGACAATGTACAAAAATCAACAATAAACAGGAGGAGGAAGACACAGCAGAACAAGGGATAGGGAAGCAGGGGAGGGGCAAGGAAGGAGGCAGAGGGGAGGAGGAGGAGAAGCAGGGGCGGGGCAGGGGCAGGAGAAGGACAAGGATAAGGGGAAGGGGAAGGGGAAGGAAAAGTCTCAGAACCTCGTCAGTCTCCTTCATGTCACTCAAAGCATGGATACTCAGCCTCCTCAGTCAGGAAGCAAGCCTCAAAGCAGGAGAATTGAACTGGCCCTTGTTCTCACCTTTTGCAGTCCTGGCCTGGGCGTTGGAGCCATGTAGAGCACTCCCTGAATATTTGTTCCCAGTCCCGACCTGCAGACAATGAGTGTCCACTTTTCTCCCTGCTTAGGAAGAAGAGAAGCCTACTCTCTATGTGTTCAACGCTGTAACAGAAAAGATGATGCCAATAATTGAGGACATTTCCCTTCTTGCTAAAAAGGTGTCTGACCTGAGAACACTGATTACTCTGAGATGTGGCTTCCCTGTGAGCGTCTACTGTCTGCGGACCCCAAAGGGACAGGAGATGTATGACTGCAATATGCTCAAGGACTACCGCACTGACATGGGTACTGTCCACTGCCCTGGACTCCAGCTGGTACTCAGCACCAGGGTTCTTTGATACCAGGTTTTGCAGACTGTCATGAGAAAACAGAAATCTAGATTTTAAATGCAAACAGTTAACTTTATTCACTTATTTATTTTAAAATATTTAATACATTTACATGCCTTAACCATCAGAAGTAGGAAAGTAGTGATAAGTCACGTTGTCTCTCACCCTCCAAGCACTCAGTTCCCTCTCTGAAACCAACTCTCCTGGTTAGGAAGATTTAAAAGCAAGAACCCTTCCAAATTAAGGCACAACAAAGAAAGGAGTTGTTTCTAACTGAAACTACTATAAGGACAGTATGGTTGTAAATTTTCAACATTGCTTTTGTGTCTGGTTCTGTGTAGTAAGATTCAAAACAGGTCTCATATCCCAACTAGTCTGGTTCTCAGAGCAAAACTTAGACCACTTTATCTTTTGCTCTTTCAAGTTATATTTCAATCAGTTGTAGAAGTAACTTTAAGTACATGCTCTTTTCTCCCTTGTAATGCAAGTGATAGTATACAATATACAATATACGTTCTTTATGAACTGTGCTTAGTGCCACGACCAGCACTTCTCTTGGTGGTGGAGGAAGACCCAGAGAAGATGGGAAAATAAAGAAAAAAGGAAAGCTGAAATCAGGTGGAGCCCTCTTTCTCCTAGAGAGAGGAAAGGAACTACTCCCCCAAAGCAGTGCATTTATTTATACATTTCACAACTTAATGTCACATGACATTTCATTTCCTACTAACTTGCATTTATGGCAACCTAAGGACTTAATGTTTTGGGGCCTAGAGTCACTTGTTTCTGTGGTTTACCCAGGGCAGTTTATCTCTTCCCCACAGATGTGGTCAAATTCCAGCTTCAGCCACTCCCAACTGGTTAGTACAATCTCATTTTTAAACGTTGCCATTAGAATAAAATAGTTTCATGTATGGTGCTGGAGACTGAACCCAGGACTTACCAATGATCTATATTCCCAACAAGTTTTAAAATTTTGAGATAGATTCTAAACCACTAAGTTGCACAGGCTGGGCTTGAACTTGTGATTTTCCTGCCTCGGCCTCCCAGAGTGCTGGGATTACATGTGTATACCATCATGCCTGGTTAAATAATCAGCCTCCTAAAGTCCTGGGATTACATGTGTACACCATCATGCCTGGTTAAATAATCAGCCTCCTAAAGTCCTGGGATTACATGTGTACACCATCATGCCTGGTTAAGAATGATTTGTGTGACACCAATGATGTGAAGGATGAAAAGTTGCCTTAGTAGATTGGCATTTACTGCAATGGGCAGATTAGAAGAGTAGTGCAACAGGAAGCCTAGCTGAAGCAGATTGAGGAGGTAATAGAACGCAGGCTCATGCACTGTGGCACAGGAGAGTTTTGAGAGAGTGTTAACCTGGTGGCACATGGTATGAGATAGAGGAAGGAATGAAGAGAGACTAGAGGCAGGGTGAGATGCTAGCCAGAACTTATAATCATTTCAGCATTAACTAATTCCACTAATGATAGAAGAAATGAATAAGACAAATTCAGGAAAAACAAGAAAAAAATTCATGCTGGATCACACCGTGCTCAAGAAACAGAGAACAGGAAATGTTCTTTGGATCCCAAGCTTTAGATTATGAGGAAATTCCGATAGTACTGTATTAAGTTACTCAACTAGCCAGTAGCTGCTCAGGCCTTGAAACCAGGGTTTGTTCGAAGGTATCTCTACCAAGCCCATGGAGACCTCTTGCACCATTTTAATTCCTTTTGTTGGTAAGAAAACTGAGGCTTAGAGAAGTTAAGCAACTTGATCAAGATCATACTGCCAAAAATCAGTAATCACATTCACAACTGGGTTCTTTCCAGCAATTTATGTTGCCGTACTAGCATGCCTTTATTGATTCCCTTTAGTTCTGATCAATGTATTATTTTGTTTCCCCTGAGAGGGGAAATTCAAGTCAAAGAAATTGGCTTCCACATTTAGGAATAAAAAGCCTAAATCAAAAGAGAGGGGAAAACAAGAAAAATCCTAGATCAGATAGGCAGATACTGGCCCCCAGGAGTATGAACAAGGAATCCAGAAAGTTGGAAAACAGGGAACATGCAAGAAAAGGAGGAGACGATGCCTGGAATAAGCAGTTTTGTTCCCATCTGTTTTCTGATGTGGCCTGGTGTGGTAGATGAGTTTGCAGGTAGAGAGTAGGAAAATGAAAATTTTCAGAACTCACACAATTTTTTCATCCCTTTTTTCTAAGTCAAAAATGATGAACAGAGAATTAGAAGGTCCAGGTCCCCTGAAGTTTAAGTCTCTTTGGTTCTATTGATTTTTCAGTGATAAGGCTGGGTTGTATTTTCTGGGATAAGATGGCATTTTTCAAGTAAATTCTTATTTTTCAACAGAATTCCTAAGCTGATGAAGAGATTGAGCATATGACAAATAATCAGACATAGTGATGCATGCCCATAATTTCGGCACCCTGAGGGTTGTGTCTGGCAAGTTGAAAGCCAGCCGGGGCTACATGCTGAGTTCAAGGACAGCCTGAACTTCATAGTGAGACTCTGTCTCAAAAGCAAAAAACAAAAATTTAAAAAAACTAAAACATTTAAAAAAACTAAAACTAAAACATTGGTGTTACAAACCAATAAGGATGAAAAGATTAGCCAATAAATGATACTTGAACTTATTTAGAAATTATCTGGATATTCAAAAATTTGGGCTTACAAGAAAAATCATAGGTTATTGTCTTTATTCTTTGAAAAATTAGAGCTGCTTTATTGCAAGATACTGAATTAGCAGTTATAATATCCACAGTTAATAAAAGACAGATAATTAAAGTAGAATAAAGAACAGGGCTGGAGGCAGTGCCCTCTATTGTTAAGGAGGATTGAGCTAGGGATAACTGAGACCCTGTAGCTAGAGAAGGACAGAAGGACCAGGAAAAGCTCACATGTAGACATCCAGTAGAGGAACCTGAATAAGGACCTTGAATAAGTCCCACTGGTAGGGGTGTCAGAGCATACTGGTGAATCTGCAATTGACAACTAGTAAAGCCAAGTTGATAAGGACAGAAAAAAAGTGTAATAAAGTAAGGGTGGATCACAGCAATCCAAGGTCACATGAATGCCAAGGTTTATGATAGAAATGATGCCATGAGAAAGCAGACAGGCTAACAGTAGAGAGGGGGAAGTCATACTAAGAGATAGGAAATGAAATCCTGGGCCTGTGGGGGAGAAGAGGACTGGCTCATGTTGAGAAATGCCTTGGTTCCTGGTATGGTTTACATCAAGATGTCCCCTAAGCCCTCATGAGACCATAGGCAAGACCTTTGGAAAGTGATTGGATTAGGACTGACTTGCTGTTAGGAGGTGGGGCCTGGTTGGAAGAGGCAGGTCACTATGGATGTGACCCTGAAGGTTGTATTTCCCTTCCTGGCTTTCCTTTGACATTTTATGCACCTGTCTACCATGCTGTGAGCAGCTGTTCTTTCCATGCCACTCTGCCACACCATCCTGCCTTGGAGCCAGGTGACTGGATTGAAACCTCTACAAACTGTATGCCCAAATAAACCTCTCCTCCTTTATTCATGGGTGTTGGGTACTGTTGTCTCAGTGATAAGAAGGTGATTATAATAATTCTTTATATAGACCAGGTCTAATCATTATGTTTCTATACAATAAATCTCATTTTCCTGAAGGATTTTTGCAACACAAGGGCATAACTAAAACAGAATCCACAACACTCTATGAAACTTGATGCATTGATTCAAAGAGAGCCTTGATAATATTTGCAAACTGGCAATTCTAAGACAGAAATATATGTTCAGTGACAAAGAGTTCCAAAGCATATGTAGAAGCCAGAGGAAAAGCACCTTAACTTATTTGGAGAGGAAAGGGGTGGATATAGCCAACGAAATCTTTCTGGAAGAAGTGACAACAAGGTTGCGTCATAAGCTATTAGTAAGACAGTGTGAGGGAAGGAGTCAAAGAATCCAGAACTGTCACCAAGAGAAGAAGCCTCCAAGATCAGAAACAGAATTTGTGCTTGTAGAAGTGCAGGGCTAGAAGGGCAGCACACAACCATAGGAGCTTGGGACAGGGGCAGAACTTCATTCAACTATACTGTATTTGGTGAGCTCCATCATGAGCCAGGCACCACTAGAGAAAGCAAGTAGAGTGGCAATGTCCCTCTTCTTAAAACTTGCATTTCATGAGGGAACTAAGCACCTTTTAGAAAACAGAAAAACGTCTAATTTTAAATATTAGTAAAAACTATGGAATGAAGACAATCTGAATAAAGGAATACAAACTAATATAATGAAGTAGGAGGAAGATATCTTAGATAGTTGGCTGGAAAGGGGGATGATATTTAAACAGAGACCTGAAAGAAAAAAAAAGAAAATGTTGAGAGGTTTTCAAGTAGATCTAGGTGAGAGATTATCTATGCCTAAAACGGGGTGGGGATAGTGAAGCAGCAAGCAAGCAGAGGTCTTCAATACTTACAAGAAAACTTGTCAGACATATGCAATTGTCTAGAGGTAGGACAGGCCATCGACTGCAGGATGGATAAGAAAGATGTGGTATTTTTATACAATGGAAAGGTACTTGGCATAAAGAAGGATAACCTCGGGGCTCTTGTAGGTAAATGGATGTAACTTGAGATCATGTTCATGAGTGAAATGATTTGGACTCACATAGGTGAACATCGTGTTATCTCCCTAGTATAATAAAAAATGGAAGGAGTTAGTGGGATCCAAAATGTACAGTAGATATTGTGAAGGTGAAAGGGAGGAAATGTTTAAAAGGGGAAGGTGGTAACAACTGTTAATTTCCTATTATCTTGTTTTGAAGTCCTGTATCTTTTTTTTTTTTTTTTTTTTTTTTTGGTACTGGGGATTGAACTCACAACCTTGTGTTCACCAGGCAACCACTTGAGCCACCGAGCTAAATTCCCAGCCCAAAAAATGATCACTCCTTTTGGGATTTCTTT